ATTTTAGTTTTATTTGTTTATTTATAAGTATCAACGTACTTTTGTCTCATTTTATTTGTTGGTTATGATGTTTACCCACAAAAACTGAATTGAAACAGCGCTGGTACTTATAAATGAACTAATGAAACTAAAATATGTTTTATTTTTGCTAATTTATTATCATAAACAAAGAAATTAAGTTACAAAAAGCTAAGTTAGGAGTCTTTCCCCTAAGGAAATATTAACTCTTTTCCCTCAAATTCACCTCACAACAGCAAAAACAAAAAGTGAACAAAAATCGGACTTTGCAAAAATGTACGGTATTTTTCGGACTATAAGGCAAAAAAAAATAATCCTTTAATTTTCTCAAAAATCGGCAGTGGGCCTGATCAGACCTTCTCCTACTCTTCTCCTGTTTCATGGAATATCTTGCAAAAAGATATGAAGCTCTCGACCTTGACCTCTCTAAGTGGCTTTAAACATCTTTGTTCCAGGGAAAAACCAATACAGACATGTTCCTGTTTTTAGTTTTCTACACCGCCTTACAACCTAGCTGTTTTTTTTGCTACTTTTCATTTTAATTACCATTTTATTTTCACTTGTAATTTTTTTTTTAATGTGGATGCATCCTTTATGACTGTCTATTGTTGTTGTCGTTGTCCACTGTTGTCATCACTCTTTGTTAAAATCAGGTCTCTCTTGTAAATGAGTCCCCGAGGCTCAATGGGATTAACCTGTATAAATAAAGGTTGAATGAATAATCAGGTGCACCTTATGTATTAACTCTGGTTGTGCTTACTGACCTCGAATCAATTTAATCTGTTTATTGTGAATAAGTTGAATAAAGTTTGACTTATCTGACTGTTTTGTTTCACTTAATGCGCCTTATAGTCCGAAAAATACAGTACTTTATATAAACATGATGTGGATGTTGCTATGTGTGCTAATTTATGAATCATAAAGTTGGATCTCATGATGTTGCACAAAAGTAGCAGTTTTATACCTAGGATGTTTTTAATGCCTTTTAGGGTATTTGATTTTGATTTGCAACAGTTAAAGTATACTCAAACTCACATATTGGGAGAAAAGACAATTGTGGCACTAAATAACCCTTAAAATAATAAAATGTGACACGACTTGATAAATTACTACTGTACTTTTTTTTGTCTATTTTTGGACCTTACTTGAATATAATCAGAAAAAGTCCACTTTTGTTTGTGATGCCGGTTAATCACCAGCAAAAAAAATGTAAAAAAGATGCACTGATGATTAAAAGGGATTCACATAAAAAAGAAATATTGTTGAAATTTCACACTACTAATTTTCAGCCAGAACTTTGTTTAGCAGCACATAAAAGGTGTGTTGCGTAATCTTTTGTCATCTGTTCAGTCCAATCGTGTTAGTCGTACGTATTTAATCAATCATATTACTATTCTATTTTTGATGTGCATGTAAATGCACATCCTTGCCCTCCCCTGTAGATCAAAGCATCATTTGCACATCAGGATGTAGAGCCACTTCAAAGCTCGCACTCATTCACAAAAGCATCTCTGCAGCCGGCAGATGGTAGCGCTGATGCAGTCTTGTGCTCCTGCGGATTTTATGCCACATCACAATTAGAATTTAAAAAAACAACCACGCAGTCCACAATGAACACAGTAGAGGTGAGAACATGAGACATGGGGTGATGATGCATGTGTCGTCCAACCTTTGAGCTCAGGAAGTTGGCAGGGTGAATGAAAAACTTTCATCTGCCAAACTCATCTGTTGGTGTCGAGCCCAGTTTGGTTCAATGAGCATTACTGGGAGAAGGAGCTTGGTCAACTTTGACCACCATACAACATTCATGCATGAAGATCTGCAGGCTCACTTTCTCAGATCCCAGACTAGCATCTTAATTTTTATCCTATTTTATAATAGTGTGGAGGTTTTGGTAATAAGAAATGTAGATTGCAGAGAACCCAGATTGATGTGTTAGTCACTGGGGGGGGGGGGGGGGGGGGGTTCTCTTCTTCTGCTTTAGAGTCCTGACAGCAGCTTTGTCAGGGGCACCTCCCTCTCGCCCAGCAGCATGTCCCTCTTCAGGCTGGTGCCTTTGTTCACCACCTTAAACTTGACCGAGAGCTTCTTCGCTTGAACGGAGCTGATGGAGTCAAAGAAGAAGTCCTCGTTGAAGACCGGGTTGCGGCTGTTCTTGATAATGTTGCTTCTCTGCTTCTGCAGCTTGCCAGGGTTCAGGTACACCGACACGCAGCAGTTGATGCTTTTGATGTTGAAGTTCTTGTCATAAAGACTTTCTGCCGCCAGGACACGGATGAACAGGCGGGATGTGCTGGAGTCGTAGTTGGCGCTGATCCTCACAGTCCCACCTTTGTGCAGGTTGATGGTGTGCTCCCGCTGGAGGCCAGGCTCTGAGGCGCCTGCGCCGCTATGGAGCGAGGGGATGTGAAGCCGCCGCTGGATGTTGGGGCTTGGCTCAGCCGAGCTGCACTCGTCGGTGGAGAGGGAGCTGTGGCGAGCGAACGACCGCTTGGCCTTCACGACCTTGGCCTGCGTCTCATGGGTGAAGAGCTTGAGCAGGGACGCGGAGCGGGAGAGCAGCGGGGAGCTGAAGGGAGAGGACTCCGCTGAGGAGCAGGTGTCGCTTTCTCCACCGCTGAAGTAACGATACGGGTTCATGTGAGAGGTGTTGCAGTCAGCAGGGTTCAGGTGGTTTCCTGCGTCGCCGCCTTTTCTTGGCGCCTTCCTCTGCGCGTTTGGAGACGTGATGGGGCTGGTGAGCTCACAGTGGAACAGGGACTCCTTCCGCCGAGTGTGGGGGCTTTCTTTCAGCGTTGCAAACCCATATGATGTCTGAGTCTTGGGAACATAAGGCAGGGACATAGCCGTCTGTGACTGGGGATCTGCATTTGTGTCTCCAGCAACAACATCATCTGCACTCTCTATCTGGATGATGTGGCGGTTTGCTGCTTTTAGCAAGTTCTTCGTGTCTCCTGCAAGCTTGGCCATCAGACGGGGGCTTCTTGGGCTGCTGATCTTCCTGTTGCTGCCGAGGGTTTGCTCAGAAGTGGATGGATGGAGCCCCTCTTTGGGCTTTAAGCTTGGAACCTCGGGCTCTGGGGGGTAGCTGACCAGTTTCGGTGGGATAAAGAAGTCTGGAATCTTATCGGGTGTGAGCACATTGCTGTAGGGTGAGGCCACCATTTTCTTGTCACTGTCACCTTGTCTCAACATGCCGGTCTCCACCGAGCCACGGATCTTATCCAGAACCCACATGGTCCCACCAGACAGTGGGATGTGTGGATCAGGATGAAGGGTTAATTCAGGCACATCTGCAAATAATAACACACATCGGTGGAGAAAAGGAGTAAAGGATCACTACGCAGAGAGGAGGGGAAGGAAAAACATCATCTGAAACAGTCTGCAGCTGTGAGAGAACATTACAAATAAATATAATGTTTATAATCAAGAACATTTTTCTCTGAATTATAATTAAAGCTTCTGAAGCTCATTTTATGCAAAGATTTTGAACTTAAAACAGAAAATATAATTTAGAATTCATCTCGTTCAGATTGATTGATTAAAAATCAATTCCAGCAGTGTAAGGTAATAGAAAGGATGTTTTTTAATTAAAAATAATAAAGTACAACAAGGAAAAAAAAAAGAGCTAGAAAAGACTCTTTTTGTGTTGAAATACAGATTTTCAGCTTGTCGGCATCATTCTTCTTTGCAGTTTTACCAACTCGATGGTGATTTTGTGTCATTTGCTCAAATTAGTCAATATATTAGGGGTTATTTAGAAACCAGCTGAGTTTCCTTGTGGTTTACTTGAGAAGTAAATTCGACGCATGAGAATGCGGCTCAACAGGTGCGAGAAGCTTCTTCTCTCTGCGTCCTGCTCCTCTTCCAAAACATTTCAACCGTGAAGTGGTCTGTTTTTATCCGCTGCATTGACTGATATTCATATAAAATGTACTTACAGAGCTAAAGTAAAGCAGGCTGTCCTCTGTCTGCGCTCCTGTGCTCCTTCAGTAACAGGTGTCCCTCTGCGGGTGTGCGCTCCGCGGCGCGGCGGCTCTGCGCCTTCAGACCGTCTCCTCTCCGGAGCTCCTGTCGAGCGTTTTATCGGCGGCACGGAGCTGCAGCTGACCAATAGGATCAACCTCTGCCTGTCTGCGTTTCCCAGCAGGACCAGCTGGAAAAGCGCCTGTTGCATCTGGAGTTGCACAAGTGGAACAAGTCTTGTTCTACGCAGGAGGCGCAGCTAAACCCAATCATTTAAAACGTGTTTAGGGGCAAAGATGTGGAAAAATAATAATAAATTTTGTTTGTTTTCTACAAAAGTGAACTATTTTATATCCAAAGTAAAGGAGAAGCAAGAACATTTGTACCAAAATGTGTAAGCTTTAATGCGTAAAGTTTACCCAAAATAAAAGAAACAGCATCTTAGAGTAATAATCTAATTAGATTTTGTGCTTTTTTTTTAATTCCACCTCTTTTTGTGGGTTCAAATCAGCTGATGTTGGTTTCCCTGGAAACTATATGGCAACAAAGACATTTGTCTAAAATTGGACAGGGCCCCACGACTTCAGTGATCTGCTGCGCAAAAATTGCCTGGTTTCAGTGGAAGCTGTGAACTGAGGGTGAACAGGTGCAGAGCAGCTGCAGAAGTCAGCACCTGCTCTGCATTCTGACTTTACAATGAGCAGAACGGAGATGACGTCAGCTGCACCACCTGATGTCATTGACAAACAGCTTAATAAAAAAATGCAAAGAGCCAGAATGTTCTTTTTGGGGTCCATGAACAGACCTTTGGTGCAGTTCTGCCAACCTTTGATGGAAATGAGTCTTTGCTTCTTTTTTTTTTTTTGTCTTAACAGGCAAAGATCACGCAGCAGCTTTTAATGAGCTGCAATATTTTCACTTTTGTTTAAAATTCAACCTTTTTTAAATCCAAACTGACTAATGGTGTGGGATACGTCGCCTTATTTTCACTGAAACATTGAAGCACGATGCTTACAGTCACACCTACACTAAAACACAAATACATGTAAATGCCTTCACAGATTCAATCTTTTTGGCATAACAATCAGAAACATAAAGTAATGATTTAGCTGTTTAGGCTGTCGTTGTTATACAAGCTGTAAAACCACAAATAGATTTTCTACTTTGTGATCTGAAGACCTGCACCTGTAAGTTATTTGATTGTTTAACTGCAGAGAAGTACACGTTTGTCTTTTTAGAAGTTACGATCGGATGCAATCAAACTGTGGGATGTGGGGGTGGTGGTTATTGACGTGCTGCTGCAGTTAAACCCTTATCTGGCAGTAACACTCCTAAAAACAAGGATTTCTTATGCAGTGTTCATGCCAGAGTTTTAGACTTGTGTTGAGATCTAATAGCACTGTAGCCATTTTGGTCAAACCTTGAAATCTAATGCAACGCCAAGACGCATGCACCAAAGTCCATGCTCAATAATCCAAATATAACATCCAACAATGTTCAGTCAGATCATCTGGACGGTGTCTTTTTTTATGTTGAGATGTTTCATCAGTCATCCAACGAACTTCTCCAGTCTGAGGAACCACCAAACAAAACTGATTCTCCACCAACAGCATAGTCCAAAGTGGAACAATCCAGTTTGCTGGTGCTAAGATGGTCGCTGCTCTACCTCGTCCATAGTCATGTCAAAGTGGTTTAAAACACCAAGGTTCATGCTCAAGCATGTTCAATGCTCAACCAAGACGCTGAAAAGTTAAGGCTGAAATTTTTAGACAAAGAGCTCAGGCAATGAGTAGCACTTGTTGCATGTGTTGTAAATGACTCTCAGCTACTACCATGCCAAACGTTTACACTATATTGGTTTATGGGGAGTGGTGGCGCAGAGGTTAGAGAAGATGGGCGTGTGATTGGGAAGTCGCAGGTTCAACTCCTGGTACCGTCAACATCAAAATGTGGGTGAAAAGGTGAAACACCCACACCTGCCTCCACCCTCAATTGCCCCACCCTTGGCCCCTGAGCAAGCCCCACTATCTGCTCCCAAAAATAGGTCTCTCTTGAAAATGAGTTCTCGTGACTCAATGACACTACCTGTATAAAGAGTAAATGGAAAAAAATAATAATTAACCAAGTTATAACATCAAAGTTCATGCTCAATAATTCAGGTTAAAAAAAAATCCAACAAAGTTTATTGGGTCCTCTGGACATGTTTTTTTTGTTGTTGAAATGTTTTGTCTTTCATCCAAAAGACTGAGTTTGTTGCGGCTCCTCGGACTGAAGAAGTCTTTTAGATGAAAGATGAAACGTTTTAACAAGAAGAAACCGTCCACAGGACCTGACTTGACTTTGTTGGACTAAGTTATAACATTTTTTGTGTTTTTTAAGGGCTGTTGGCTGTGGCAGCCATCTTGAAATTGGTTGGCTCCAAGAGTTAATACGTTGTGGAGGTACTGTACATTCATTTTGAGAGGTTCAATGAAAAGTTTCAAGTGGTTTACTGTATATTTTGCTAACAGACAGACAGAGTTACGGTACAACAAGTTAATGGTACAACTTTAAACAAAGTTCTTGCTATCAGTTTGGGCTGAGTATGTGTTGAGGATCAGTCTCAGCTACGATCACACCCAATTTTAGCTCAGTCTAAAATAATGGCTGCTTTATAACTGGGTTTGTATTTTTTTTATTGGTAGTGGCAGCCATCTTGAATCAAGTACACTTCAAAAGGGCCAAATGCATCTACTGGGGGAATAGGTGAATGTTGCCTGACGTTGTGCAGAAGTCCAGGCTCACACTGTTCACAGGTTCCTCTATAAAATAATGAGATCGATAGTCCGGCCTTGGAGAATCTTGTGAGAAAAGGTTAATGTGTCTGTTCTGTTCTCATTAAATGGATACAACTCTGTCTGCCTGAAAACTTGACGAACACATCAGCTTTTCCACAGAAACGAGCACTTCCTCTGTGACTAACAGTGATCTGACTCAGTGAGGCTGCTTGTTCTCACAGGAAGACATTAAGAAGAACGAGACGCAGAAAATAAAATCACTTGAAGGTTAAAAGTCTGGATGTGTCAAACATTTTCCTGCTGATGTTCGATCGGCTTCCTGGACAGGCTGGAAGAAGAAGCTGGGGCCTGCACTCGTGAACAAGTCTGAATAAAGGCACAGCAGGAGGTCTGGTCTACGTTCAGGTTGGAACTCATCCTCCTCTCTGTGGGGGGTGGGGGTGATGTTTTTAAGCAAGTGATCACTCAGTCAGACTGAACAAGGAGTAGAAAAAAGAACCGTGACATGTCAGATCTTTACTCTACTCCCTCTTATTGTCGCCATCCATCTTTCCCTCCTGCCTGCCAACCTGTTTTCCCACCTCCACCACAGCTATTGTTGCCTTGGAGACATCTCACAGACTGGCATATGGATCACCCCCACCCCACCACCCCACCCACCCCCCAGGCTCACATTTCTTCACCTCTCCAGCCTGTTGCCGCCCCTCCAGCTTGCTCCTTCTCCATCTTTCTGCAGCTCACAGACTCGGGCTGCCTTCGAGTCATTTTGGGGCTGGAAATTTTCGAGCTGCCAGTTGGAGGTATTGGGGAGGTTTGTGTGTGTGTGTGTGTGTGTGGGGGGGGGGGTAGTAGTAGCACATGTGACTCATGGTCAAAAAGAGCCCTGTGAGACAGCTTTGATTTTTATAGACACAAACTCGGAAGTATTTTATGATAAAAAATTTAGGTTGGCCCAATAAGACGTGGTGTAAACTTCGGTGGGCTCGTTTGTTTTTTTACATTCTGTGGACTTGAATTCTAACAAAGCGCTCTCCACAGATTTGGTTTTGTGAACTTTGACAATGAGGACGACTGCAAAACAGCTAAGGAGGCAGTGGAAGATGGTGAAGTGGCAGCAACGTGACCCTGGATTAATCCAAGGGTGAAGGTGGCTTCCATGGATGGAGAGGCGGCGACGACCGGGGCAGGTTCGGAGGTTGTGATGGAGGAAGAGGAGGTGGAAGAGGTGGTTTGGGAGGTAAAATGAGCCTAAAGTAAATCTCATTTGCTGATTTATAAAGCAGTTAATAGTTGTAATTTCTAGTTTTCTTGATGTCTACTGTCAGATAATGTAATTGTACTCTTGAAGCAAGAATATTTTTGCATATTGGTGCTTTATTTTTATAATGCTGATCATTAAATAGTTTTTGTGTGTGTGTTGTTTTAGGTGGATGATGTTCGGCTGTACGTCATATTATTTTACATTATTTTTTCATTCAGCCTTTATTTAGACAAGTTAATCCCATTGAGCCGCGATGACTCATTTGGGATTAAACTGTCTAAATAAAGGTTGAATGAAAAAATAATGTAAAATAATATGATGTAACAACAGCAGCATTATTAGTTTAGTGTATATTTTATATATTTTAGCATATCATTTGGTGTTTGTTTAGTGTATTTCTTAGATCCTTATATACTGTTTCTTTTTATACTTTATATTTTTGCTATATTTGGGTGTAACTGGGACCCTGAGTACATAATTTCATTCCACCATGTGATGTGAATGACAGTAAACATGACTTTAACTTGAAAATCCATCCATCCATCCATTTTCTTCCGCTTATCCGAGGTTGGGTCACGGGGGTAGCAGCGAGGCCCAGACTTCCCTCTCCCCAGCCACTTGGTCCAGCTCCTCTGGGGGAATCCCAAGACGTACCCAGGCCAGCCAAGAAACATAGTCCCTCCAACGTGTCCTGGGTCTTCCTCTGGGCCTCCTTCCAGTGGGACGTGTCCGGAACACCTCACCAGGGAGGCGTCCAGGAGGCATCCTAACCTGATGCCCGAGCCACCTCAACTGGCTTCTCTCGACGTGGAGAAGCAGCGGCTCTACTCTGAGTCCCTCTCGGATGCCTGAGCTTCTCACCCTGTCTCTAAGGGAGAGCCCAGACACCCTGCGGAGAAAACTCATTTCAGCCGCTTGTATCCGAGATCTCGTTCTTTTGGTCACAACCCAAAGCTCATGACCTTAGATGAGGGTGGGAACATA